GTCAGAGATAGACTTGTCTATGACTAGACTTGTAGTCCTACTCTGGCTACCTGAGATCACTCCTCTATATGAAAATATCAGATGAACAATACTCATAAGTATTTTGCCGAAAGTGGTATGAGTACTCAACAATACCCAAACATTAGTACTCAAAGTACTTGTTACTCACTCATGAGTACTCAGTGAGTAAAAAAATGTATGAGTACGTATGAGTACTCGTCCGGTTTTTCTAGCGGAGTACTTTTTGAGTATTCACACTTGAGTACATTCACTAGGGAAGCGTTTAAATAGATACATTAGTGACTATTGTCTTATTTTTTTCTTTACGCTTCTTATGACATCACTGATGTCCGTCATTTCCGGCAAATTTTCCAAGTGAGGAATACTCAGAGAAACGGATTTCTATGCGGGCAGATCTTCAAATAATGAATTACTCTTTGCGTGAGGGACATTTGGCAACCCTATTTGTCTGTTACTTTTTTGTAGATATACTTATTTAGTTTATATTTACAATGGCAACGGCTCGGGCGCAATCGAAACAAAGTCGCCCGGCGCCAAAAGCAAAAACAAGTGTTACAAAATCTGAAAAACCATTAGCCAGCACACTTGAGATTGTTCCAGGAAAATTTAGTGAGCATGATTGGTAATTGATGGAGAAACGTTTCTCTATGTACCTCGCATGATGATTTATTCTTGTCATTTAGGTATAATTTAATAGAAAGTGATGAAACAGAAGATTTCATTGCGGACATTCTCGATGATATATGGAGTCAAACATCAAAACAAATTGAAAAAATTTATATTTCAAAACAATTATTACCATACACAACCATGATGGTTAAAAATGCTCTGTCAAATGTGATACAGGTAATAAACAACTGTTTGTTAAATTTAGTTTATTTCCCTTTGATTTTAGTGGGCATTTCTCGAACGAGACGAACCAGAACCAGCACAAGGAACATTTTGGATAGAAGACGCTGGTAATTTTTATTTATTTGTACAAAAAGTAATCGTAGTGTGAAGATTATTCATTTGATTCAGAGCCAGTACCATCGAATATGGATAATTTTGGTGAAGGAGTTGTACCGGCTTGTAGAGAAGAAATACAAACGTAAGTGTAAAAATCTTTTTACAGTAGAGTCTAATTGCTTTATATAAATTTCTATCTATTTTTTAGTCTTCTTTCCGAACCTGAAACAACACGCATCCCTTCTGTTCGTGCGTCAATATCGTCTGCTTCACCGACCGCTACCAAACAGACACAACAAATCACAGAAAACAAGCAACAAAATGTATCTGACGAATACCTGACTAGTCAAACAAAATTAACGCCAGATGATTCAATATTAACTGAACAATCTCTATCTGGTCAGGCAGAGTTGACAATGGGTGGGATTGAAGAACAACCAGAGCAACAAATTGAACAACGTCTTCATAATCATGATGTATTAGTTATACAACCAACAAAAGTAAGCCTATAATGTTTCTACAGTAGAATAAATAATATTTTCATTTTTCTAGTTAGAACCATTGGCTGAATTATTTTTTCCGCCATCAAACTCAAAAGTTTCAGATAGTAACAAAAAGTATAAACAAACCAAACAGATAAAGAAATCGTTTACATCTTCAACCGTGGAAAGTCAATCGATAACGACAAAATCATCGTATCACGACACGAAAAAAAGTGATGATAAATTAAGAGTATTCGATGATCAACACATAGAAGAATTGATTAATAAAGCACCAGCTGCTGCACATTCAATTCTAAAAGTAAATACAGGCAACTGTGTTTTTTTAGTTTCTTAACGAAAAAATAATTGTTGTTTGTAACGTAGAGTATTTTGAGTCGTCCACCAGGCTATCGTGAATTAGAATTAGATGAATTTGGCAATGTTGCATCAATAACAAAACTTGATCCAGATAAATTACCATCAAAAAGGTGTTTAACGAGAAGAACAACATTGAAACAAAAATTTTACATTTTAACTTTTTCGTTATTTAGTATACGTGTAAAATGTGATGTAATCAAACCACGAAAAACAGTTATTGACACAAGACCTGTTTTGAACGCTCAACGCCAACCAAAAAAAGAACGACAACAAGAAAAATTTCAATCGATTAAATTAGGTGTGTCTCTGTATGTTCTGCATGTAATACACTATATGTCAAAATTTAGACATCTCGTATTTCTAGTTGTACCAGAACAATCTGTTGACGTAGGAGATTTAATTCAACCAGTACCCGGTGTTCTGTACGAAGACAGACGTCTGAAAAAAGGAGATCCAAGAAGATATCAGGTATGTTGTGCATATTCTTTCTAGAAGGAGAAATTAGAGTAACTTTTTGTATTTGAGGCTGGTTTATCAAAATATTTTGGATTTCATGATGCTGAACGGCCACTTCGTCCCATAGCGAATCGTTTTGATGTTATGTTATCGGCTAAACAAATACTATCTGTTAACAATTCAGATGAAGATGATGATGTTGAAGAATCATCTAAAATTCGTGCATTCAGAACTCTAAATAAAATACCACCAATTATATCGAGTCCAACAGCGTCTTCTGCTTAATTCTTTTCTGTTGTGATATACCAGAGTGTCTTTATTTTGTAGATGCCCACAATTTTTGTATAAATATAGTATGAATTTATAGCCAGTTTAATTGTAAATTCATGCGGTGATAGCTTATAAATTTTGTGAATCTTCTCGTAGTCTACTCCGGAGGAAGTACGTACAAATAGATGGTATTTTTTATAAAATGAGTGTTAGTTAAAGCGTACTGTGCAACGTTTTAACTATTTAACGGGAGTCTGATGTGCGTTGTCTGGCGTTTTTGATTCAAGTTTTACTAGGTGAAGGAGGTTTCTGTGAATAAGTAAAATTTTTCCATGAGAAACTTCCCTCTTGGCCGAATCGGCATCATTCTTAACGATTTTTTTCATTTTCTTGGAAAATCGAGTGCGAAACTCCGATTGAGTGGTTTTTGAACTTTCCTTCTCGAGATATAAAAGAAATGGTAAAAGTTCAAGGTGGAATCTAGGATTTTGGTTTCGAAAACCCCGTAACTCCATAACAAAAGAGTTTGATAATTATCAAATTTTGATTCGGTTTTACGATTAGACGATGCACTCACTACACAAAAGTACTAAGAAGAAATTAATATAAAGAACTATGATCAAAATTGTTAGAAAATGCAGAATTACTTGAATTATGGATATGCTTGAGATTGGCCGAAAGAAAACATGGCGAAAAATGTAAAAAGGCAATTCTTCAAGGTGTAGATGGGTATTTGGTACGCGTGTATGATTTTGACGGTGGTAGTAGTGCGGGAAAGGACGACTAAAACACTACAATCTTTAACAAGATCTTTGGTTTTCGACCACAATCTATACATTCGAATTATGTTTTGGACAAAAAGGCTTAGAAATCAAGATATTATTCTGTGCAGTGACTTAAATGTTATTCTTCTTTTGACAAAAAACTAGAGAGAAGAGATAAAAGTATAACAAAGGAAATTAATCAAACGATCTCTTCATAAAGATGAGCATCTCCGACTACGGAGTTGCATTTTACTAACCTGTGGTTGACTTAAGTAGATTTTTACAACTCCAACGTTTTTTTACATTTTTATTACATGGATCAAATCAATGCCCTGGAGTCTGAAGCAATTCTGAGCATAACGATGACAGTCGCTAGCAATATCTCTTAGCGGTTAACCCCTATCCCGTCCGTATCGGCGTCAACGTATGTTCACCGTTTATGCACCTTTTCAATCGCTTCTTTTGGTTTTCTTTTTCAATTTCGTCGATGCACGAAGACAAACAGCAGGTCTATACTTTGAAAATTAATATTTTTAAAATGATTTTTTTATACGTAAACAAAAACGAAATAATAACTGCTAATAATAAGATAAAGAAGAAAGAAAACGAAACAAGACAAAATGTTTCCGTATCAGACGGAGTTAAGACCTCCGGTATTGGAATTAGAATTGAACTTACGAGGGAACATATTTCAGTAACCCCCCTAGAAAAGAGACGAGACCTAGCCGCTCGTGTAGAGAATTTTACGCTGATCACGAATATGTATATCTTAGCTGCTCTCGTTGTGGTCTCGATGCTTTATTTTGCCTAAGGTTGCGCGTAATGCA